GGGCAATGAATGTACAAATGCGCTTTACACAATTGATGTGTGTATGGATTGTGATAAGAGTTGTATGAGCCCATAATAAAATGATTTTTGAAAAAATAATAGTAAAAAATTAATATTATATTTACAATTATCATTCTATAAAGCAACACTCCTTGGATGAAAATATCTGCCTAGAAATGAAACCTGTTTGACAACATTTCTCACCTTGGATTTGATTTTGTTGTGATATGCACAATTCTAAACATCCAATAAAGATAAAATTCCCTGGCATAAGGAGGGAAGTCTATTGTAAAACATTCACAATGGTATTCCCTGCACAAATCAAAGATTAAACCCTCAGCTATAGTATTTTAACACCTAAAACTAGAATATTTATGGCTGGATGAGTATTCCAATTAAAAGCCTATTATTCGAAGTCTTCAAACTTACTAGCTGAAGTCATCCTAAGAATGCGATGAGATTTTGTTCACATGTTTTCAGACTCCAGAAATTGATACATGTGAATTGAGAAATTCCTTGTTCTTAAAGAATCATTACTCATCTATAAATGTATCCTAATAATGGATGTGTGCAAATATTTATCTTCCAAGATAGCTCTGAAAATGTATTATTGTCCAAGAAAAACTACCTAAATATCTAAAAAGGAAACTAGTTCAATATCATATATCTATGAAATAGAATGAGCAGTCCTGTTGGTACAGCGGGTTAAGCATTGGGCTACTAAGCGGAAGGTCAAAGCTTTGAGTCCCACCGCTGCTCTGGGAGAAAAAGATGAGGCCATCTCCTTTTGTACATTTTATCCTGTGGAACAGGTCTAGATTCTCTGAGTTGGAATCAACACAAGGTCAGTGGGTTCCATTTGGTTTAAATAACAGAACAGTATGCAGCCATTAAAGTGCAGTTTATAGATGATGTAGGAAGACGACATCAAAATAGTACATTGATTGGACCTCCACTCAAGTACTCCCTCAATGCAAGTACACTTTTCTCTATTAAATTGGCATTCCATGATGCACACCTTCCCGACACGATTACTGAAGACAAATGTGTGCATAAGCAAATGTGGTGAAGAAAGCTGATGGTGCCCAGCTATCTGGGGTCTTAAAGGCTTGAAGATAAAACAAGTGGCCATCTAGCTCAGAAGCAACAAAGCCCACATGGAAGAAGCACACCAGCCTGTGTGACCATGAGGTGTCAATGGGATCAGGTATCAGGCATCATCAGAACAAAAAGTCGTATCATTGTAAATGAGGGTGAGTGCAGAGTGGAGACCCAAAGCCTATCTGTAGGCAACTGGACACCCCTTACTGAAGGGTCATGGGGAGGAGATGAGCCAGTCAGGGTGCAGGGTAGCAACGATGAAACATACAACTTTTCTCTAGTTCCTAAATGCTTGCTCCCCGCACTATCATGATCCCCATTCTATCTTACAAGTCTGGCTAGACCAGAGGATGTACACTGGTACAGATAGGAACTGGAAACACAGGGAGTCCAGGACAGATGATCTCTTCAGGACCAGTGGTGAGAGTGGCGATAGATACATGGAGGGTGGAGGGAGGGTGGGGAAAAGGGGGGAACCGATGACAAGGATCTACATATAACCTCCTCCCTGGGGGATGGACAACAGAAAAGTGGGTGAAGGGAGATGTCGGACAGTGTAAGATATGACAAAATATTAATAATTTATAAATTATCAAGGGTTCATGACAGGGAGGGAGGGGGGAAATGAGGAGCTGGTATTAAGGGCTCAAGTAGAAAGCAAATGTTTTGAACAAGATGATGGCAACAAATGTACAAATGTGCTTGACACAATGGATGGATGTATGGATTGTGATAAGAATTGTATGAGCCCCCAATAAAATGATTAAAAAACAACAAAAGAGTACATTGTATAATCCAGTACAGTATGATCTCTTCTATAAAAGCTTCCGCGATTACACACTAGCCCTCCGTGGACGTGACGGCAGACATCTGCACCTCAGTGCAGAGAGAGAAGTGTGGGAAGAGGCAAAGCTAACACTACACTGACGATCACCTCCGAACAGTAGAACTACGAGTGACTGTTTGCCTCCCCACAGACTTGAAAATGTTTAGCTTCTACAAATAAGTGTTCCTGCTTGTTGTTGTTTTGTTTTGCTTCTTAACCAGAGGAAGAAAAGGTTGTCAAAGTGTGACATCAAACTAGAAACCATAACGTAATTACCTTTGAAGGTGAGACTGCCTGGAACTATCATTTTATACATTTTACATTCTCCATGGTATTAGATATGTCTATGTGTAGAGGGCCTTGGTGGTGTAGTGGATTAGCCATTGGGCTCCTAACCACACAGTCAGCAGTTTGAACCCATCAACCACTCTTCAGAAGAAAGATGAGGCTTTCTTCTCCGGTAAAGTTATACTGCCGCGGAGACCCACACGCCTACTGTAGGGTCTTAGGAATCAGAATGGATTTGATGGCGGTGAGAGAGTGGGGGATATTTAGTCGTATCTGTATTCCAGGTTTAGGAAGAGGGTACAGAAACATGGAATCGTTTTGAGCATTTACCGTGCTTCCAACTTAAACCAGTGCATTTGTGACTGCAGAAGAATAACACATGCATTTACTGAAGAACCTAAAGACTATTCTGAAGGCCACGGAGATGCCTTTAGGCAGCCAGCCACTCCGCTTTCACTTGCACAGCCTGCACCGGGCCATACCACCCACCCAAGCATTATCACCATCCGTCAGTGTCACAGTGGGCTGCTGACATGACTTAATTGCTGAGCTATTGCTAATTATAAGGCAAATGAAACAGTCAAAGAGAACTCACCCCAACCAATTAACTAAAAGAACAGGCATTAATTATCTCGGAATGTCCTGTATCTGCCAATTCAAACTTTATCACCCATAAAGGCTGCTATACAACCATGACTCTTTTTTGTTCCATTCTTTTCCAGGCTTCACAATAGTTGAGCTACTCCTGACGCAGAGCATCCATCTTGCTACCACGTAGCTGGCATCCAGCTCCTTCCAGCTGGGCCTGCATTCCTCGACCTCACCCTGGGCTTTGAGCAGCTTTGTTGACATAATGTAAGTTATTGCATGGTAATAAATTGATAATGGGTGAATAACTCCATTAGGAAGGATGAAAGTCACGTGGTAACTTGGATGCACAAGGCTAATATTATAACCCAACCAGTGCAATGAATCGGTATCAGCAGATGGCTGGAGAGAGTTACACACTTAATCTGCAATGCTCCTCAAACTACGGTAGTAAAAACATGACGACAGTTCTGGACAGCCTGATCTTTCTGTTTTACTGGAAAATCGTTGAAATGCCTACTTGCACCTCTTCTACATGGAGGAGCTACAAATCAGGTACTGGATTCTGTATTGATGTTCACATGTATGAAACTATTATAAAAACAGAGCTACAATGACAAGTTCTTCCCTCCATCCTTGTACTGCCATAAGAAGACTGCTTCCGAGAAAAGACCTGGGGGTCAAACTTGCTCTCTCGAAGGCCAATCATTTAATATCTCGGGATCAACTTCCCCTCATCTCTAAGTTGAGAGTTTTGGACCACGAGGTCCTTTTTAGCTCTCAGGCAAATGACAGATCTAACAGAGAATTTAATTAAAAAATCCACAAACTTTCACAACGCATATCATAGTGCTAATCTCCTTAATTAATAAAGATCTCCTAGAAATCAATACCTCTTTCAGAAGACAACCCAAATCCAGTCTTTTTCTACTGGTTAGACTGGCAAAAATTTCAAAGCTGGGTAACATGGGCCATTTGTTTCAGGTGTGCTTAAAAGAAGGCCAGGCCACGTGCTGCCTAAAATGGCCATGGTCGTTCTTATTGCTACTGCTGTTCCTGGTCCTCCTGGAGTCCATGGGCCGCTCAGTGAGACCAAACAGCTCTATTTGGGCACAGAGAGACTGGTAGCCCGTAAAGTTATCAAGTTCCCATCAGAATCCATCTCTACCACTTCTTCCCTCTGTTTCTGGCAGTGGGATTTTTTCCCCATGGAACCAAAGAAAAACTAATTTTCACCGGGTGTGAGTTCAATTGGTTTTTAATGCATATTCAAGATAAAAAATTATAAACCTATGATTGTGGATGCTTATCTACTTAAACAATATGAAGCATACTAGTCATTAATAGACTAATTCATAAATAGGATATATCCCAATAGATTTACACCATGTGTTTGAGTAATTATTTTAATCTTTATTCATTATAAAAACCCTTGGAGCTGGATAAGAAATATTCTCACCATATTCTTATCATAGTTCCTTCTAAAGTTCAGAGAGAATGAATAAACTGTACTGAAAATCCAATGTACCTATCATCTAATAACCCAAATTGTGGTGATCAACTTCAATTCCTGTTATAATTCTTATTTCCTCTATAATCAAGACGAATTCAAATGCCTCTTTCAATCTCTGCCGCCCAGTGCTACTGATGGAGAAGCCTCTGCCCCACAGCAAGGAAGCAGGAGAGAAGCCCTCACCACCTGCCAACCAAGTCCTTAGCCACGCTTCCCTGAAGACTGTGATGTTCACCTGCACCCCCTCTCTGATACGAGCTAGGTCCAGAGTTGCATACAGGCCAATTTCTGCCTCAGTGTTATCTCGACCAGAAGCGAGGACTGTCGAGAGCTCAGCAGTGTTTCATGGGGCCCAGAACGGTGTGTCTCCGCTCATCCAGAGCATGTTTCAACCCAGTGCCATCCAACAGAGCCACTGATCCTGTGCCAAATTTATGGGTGCAGGCAGCCATTGTAGGAGCGGCTGGTTCTGGTGCTGGCATCGGAAAGGTCTTTGGCAGCCTTATCATTGGTTATGCCAGAAACCCTCTGCTGGAGCAGCAGCTGTCCGCATACGCCAGCCTGGGGTTTGCTCTGTCTGAAGCTTTGGTTCTCTTCTGTTCAACGGTGGCTTTTCTGATTTGGTTTGCCATGTAGCAAAGATGAATGGCTACAGACATTGGCACTCGTAATAATTACAGAATGGAGATAATTCTGCGGATCTGACTGTGACTCTGAAAACTGCCGTGTTGGTGTCATGGAAATGTGTGTTCTTTCCACAGCCATTTCATTCAAAAATAAAAAGTATACAAATGCCAAAAGCGTACCATGACACAGTGCCACAACTTAACCGGCAGGCAAACCCGTCAGCTACCGGTATCGGTATCTCACTTACTTTGGAGAGGCCTTTGGCGGGGGTTCTAGCTAGAATGCTATTGTGTCCAGTGTTGGCTTCTTTAACTTTATCCAATAGCATTAAAAGGCTTGGGAGGTTTAATCTCTCAAAGCCTTATTAAAACAAAAGCCAATTACTCGGCCTCATTATTTGAAGTCACAAACGTATTTAATTCACTCTCCTTCCCACTCCTTTATGTTCTCATGCTGGGCAGGTCAGAAACAGTGGTCATGCGGTCTGCTTTTCTTGTCGGGGGACTAGCCAGGAGGGAGAGACATGCCATCCAAACCAGGTACTAGAGCGACTGTATATTAAAATCACGTAATATCTATTTATTATATCATTTCAACATTTAAGGAATTTTTATGCTATAGTCGGGTAGGCATCAAGCTGTTCCCCTAAAAAGTTAGCAGTTCGAAACCACCAGCCACACCATGGGAGAAAGATGAGGCGGTCTGGTTACCTAAAGATTCACAGCTTCAGAAGCCCTGTGGAGTCGTTCTAGTCTGTCCAAAAGGATCACTAATCACTATGAGTCGAGTCGAGTCGACTCAGCAGTCATGGGTTTGACAGCATTAATACAAAACTTCTCATACATGAGTTAACTGGGTTTTTTAAATTTTAGATGGGTTAGGGTCAAATATCAATACAACGATTTGCTGACAAGACTATTAGCTATATTTTTTCCACAGTGCTAATTTTTCTTTGAAATAGCCTAAGAGAACATGATGGCAAGAAAAGTCTGAAGTTATTGATGACTGGTTGCTGGAAACTAGAAAGTACATAGATTGTCTATATGTTCAATAAAGATTTGTACAGAGCTTATAATGGTCTAGACACTGTTCTGTATATTTAACAAATAAGAGGTCATTTATTTCTCCCCACCATGCTGGGAGGTGGACAGAATGTACAGATGAGGAAATGGAGAGAGAGAAACGTTAAGTCGTCCAAGTAGTCATTGGTAGGAGTAGGAGTTAAAACCCGGTAGTCAGCTCTCTACTCCTGTAAAGAGTTATGGTCTGGGAAACCCAATGGGGCAGTTCTACTCGGTCCTCCATGGGGTTGTGATGAGTCAAATTCTGCTTGATGGCAGTGAATATTTTCTCAGTACTATTATCATAGTCAATATATGTTTCCATACTATTATTATCCAGATCCAGAGTTTATGCCTCATGGAAGCAGGACCTCAGAAAGCAAAGTACACATCGCACAGGGTAAATCTGCTGCACAAGACGCCGTGAGAGTATAGAAAAGCAAAGATTGTATTCTGAAGACGAAGATGCGGCTGACTCAAGTCATGGTATTTTCAAGGGCCTCAAATGAGTACGAAAGACCAAAGAAGAATTGATGCGATTGAATTACAGCTCTGGCAAAGAATATTGAATGTATTATGGGCTGCCAAAAAGAAAAACAAGACTGTCTTGGAAGAAGTATGGCTAGAGTGCTCCTTAGAGGTAAGGTTGGCATGACCTCATCTTGAACGCTTCGGACATGTTGGCAAGAGAGACGAGTCCCTGGGGAAGGACATGGTGCTTGGTCAAGAAGAGGGGCGTGGAAAGGAAGAAGACCCTCACCAGGATGGAGTGACACAGAGCTGCGACAAAGGGCTTAAACACAAGGGCCCTTGGGAGGGTGGCACAGGACCGGGCAGTGCCCCCCTCTGCTGTGCTCAGGCATGCTATGGGTCAGAACCAATTTGATGGCACCTAGTAGCAATCACAACATTCACCATGCTGCCTTTCAAATGCATACCAGCACGTTTTTGCCACTTGTAGGCAATTGTTAGCAAGAATTGTGGACATTCCCGAAGGGGCGGGAAGATGAAACCACCAGACAACGTATGTGCCCCTATAAAAGTCTGCTTCAAGTGTTTGGATCATTCGTCTAAATAAGAGTTCTGCCTCATCATGTCTCAAAATGCCCTTCACGGAACTCATGCCTCCCTCCCCCTCCCCCCAACAAAAGATACAGGGCATGTAATACACCACAAATTTTATTTTCACTTAATAAGTCACAGATCATTGTTTTCACTCCAGCATATCAAGACAGTTGGTCCCCAAATTTATTTGGCCTACAGTAATTTTTCAGAAAGAAAAATTACCCCATGCCCCCTGGCAATTAGACATAGTTGTCCTCTAGACCACAGATAGTCCAGGATCAAGTAGAGCTACCTGCTTTTGCAGTCCCCCAGCCCCACTGCTTCTGTGCAACCCCCAGGGGGTGGTATGGCCCGCTCTGGGAACAGGGATTTAGATCGACATCACACATTTAAAATGCTATACAGCATTAGGTGGGGAGGAGGCTTAGGGATAGGGTAAAATAGCTTACTGGTTTCTCCCATTATTTATTGAGGAGTTTCTTCCTTTCTTTCTAGGGCTCGTTCGAGGAACCTGCTTGGCCCCCTGCTCCTTTGTGGGTCCTTCTTCCCACCCGAACTTCATAAGGGCAGAAGCCCAGGCGAGGTTCCACTTTAGTTGTCAGCACGGCCTGTCTGGAGTTCACAAACTGTTGGATTGTATGATCTGTACAGTATATGCCAATAAAATTGTTAAAAAGAACTTTTAAAAATAGAAATAATAATAATGATGAAAACTTAAACAAAAAAAGAGGACATATATTTCAATGGGTCCTGAAACAATAAAGCAGAATATTGCTGGTTTTTTTTTTTAAAGCCATCTTGGAGCTTTGTTCTTGCTACGCTTCCCCTTTCTTTGACTCAACTCCCTGCTGGAACAGTTTCTCGCTTGCTCTCATTGCCCTTTGCCACTGCTCCCGGTGACTGCCCAAAGCTGGGACCATGGGCACCACTTGACAGACTCACCTGGTGCCAAGTAGTGTGCTGCAGTGGCCCCCCAACCCACCCTGCTCCATAGAAGGGATCAGTTCTTCCTGGCCAGATCCCAAGGAGTGCCAAATCACACGCACCCAATGGGTAATTAAACTTCTGGCTCAAAATCCCAGAATAGATTGTTGGTAGGGTTCCTCAGCGCATCCCTGGCACACAGCAGGATGCAATTTTGAGTTTAGTTTTAAACCTTGCACTCTCTCCACATTGGGAATTATAGAGAAAACAAACCAAAAAAGAGTGAATTAAAGCAAAAATATATGTATTTCAAGGAGAAAATGGCAGGAAGTGGGAAGACATCCATTTCTGAATTATGTGCCTGTTCCTAAGCAGATCTTGAGAACTTAACTGGCCTGATTTCTAGGAGAGCTGAGTAGAAAACTTGAACTGAACATTAGGGATGGCCATGTTCAAGAGAAATTAATTCTGTTTTCCTTTTGTCTAGAATCTGTAAGTCAGCCAGTCACCAGCTATAGAATGACGCAGGCTGAGGGGACAGGGTGGAACGAACGAGGACTGGGGATAACTTCATTCTGTGGCCTTCTGTGGAGAATGATGGTCTGGCTCATTGATCTACACTGGTGCAGACCAATTTCTGATAAGATTTTGTAGATTCTTCTTCTGTACAGAAATTCTACAATTTCTGTAGATTTCTGATAAGAATGGACGAATATAGATGCACTTTGGCCTCCATATCCAATCCACACCGCTGTTCTTCAAAACATACTCCTCTAGAACCTAGGGGTTGAAAGAAAGCCTTTTCTCTGTTCAATGAGAGTTGTGCTCGGCCAGCAAGTCTATTCTGCCTCTTAGCAACCCGAAGGTGACCCCTGAGAACTGCCCCATAGGGGTTCCCAGGTGGTAATATTTATGGGAGTCAATCACCAAGTGTTTTCTCCTGTTAGAGAAGTAGATTGGTTAGAACCACTGACCTTTGGGTTTGCTTCCAATCACTTTATCCCCTGTGCCACCAGGGCTCCTTAAACCAAAAAAACTAAACCCACTGTGATGGAATCCATTCCGATTCATAGCAAGTTTATATAGGGTTTCGGGGGTTGTAAGTCCTTATGGGAGCAGACAGCTTCAACTGTTTCCAGTGGAGCGATTTGTGGGCTTGAACTTCCAATCTTGCAGTTAGCAATGCTATCCTACTAGAATGCTTTAGCCAAGCGTCTAACTATTATAAATCAGTTTGCATGCTAATAGTATGTATGCTCCCACTTTAAAAACAGGGCACGGATTCCTCACCGCAGAGTAAATAGCATACTAGGCCTCTGGAAACCTCTCACTGGCCAGGCTCACACCACTAGGAAGTGCCAGTTAAGTCTAATGACCAGAAATAAGTATAGTCATACAGATGGTCAGTCGCGTTTCTGGTTTACCTAACGTAGAAAACAAGCTTTGACCAAGGAAATGCACACTGAACCTAAGTTTTGTATGTTCTGTCTCATACGGTGAACTGCTGATGGCAACTGAAAAACAAAACATTCCATGCAGTTCACTTCATGATAACTTTTCAAGGATCTGACTACCAGATCTTTACCCAGCTGATGGGCTGATCAGGTTCCTGAGCGCCTCGGCCCTGAGCCACCTTGTGTGTCACATTAGCACTTGTGTGTCACATGTCCACAGTGCGTCACATTAGCACTTCCTTCCTGGACCATGCCCTGAAAAAGGTTGGGAAGCTCTGAACTACTCTGGTAGAGGTCATACCTCCTGCCATCGAGTGGATTCTGAATCGTAGAGACTCTATTAGGATTTCTGAGGCTGTAAATCTTCACAGGAGCAGATAGCCTCATCATTCTCCCACCAAGCAGTTGATGAGTTTGAACCTCCAACCTTGAAGTTAGCAGTCCAACGCTCACCCAACAGTACCACCATATCACCTGCTGTCTTATCTGCATCCTTGAAGAGTGG